GCTCATGTTAGACTGCACCCCATAAACACAATCAAGCCTAGAAAAAAAAACAGTGAACCACCACTTTAAATAAGAAAGTATCAACCAGATATCCAAGATAATTGTCACAGAAGAAAATTAAGGAGCTCCTTAAACACAACCAAACTCTCAATGCATGGGTACTGTATGTCTGAATATTACAGACGCCCCTAACAAAGATCTCAAACATTTGCAGTTTCCTGTTTATTAATGCTGCTTTGAGTGGTATTCATAAATATCACACATATCAAATGCATGTCCTGAGAAAATAGTGAAGAAATCGAAAAATAAATCATACTGCACTTTGCTCATTTCTATAAGACAATGACAAATATGCATGTAACAGCAATGAGGTCTGTTTTCTTCACTACAAATTACATCAAGAATAAATGCTTGATTTAAGTAATTTCCACTCTAAAAAAACCTTGAATCTCAAATTTAGGGCAAATTATCCTCAAAGCATCCTCATTGAGACAAACTTAAAAACCTTCGGACAACATCAGACCCACACAATGCTGAACTGAGCAACATTTAGCATTGTCTGAGGCCAAGCAAGGTGAAGGAGTATGAATTTCTGACCTGTCTGGGATCCCTGAACCGTTTCTGAGAGGGTCCTGGTTTGCACTGGCTGGGCCTCCCCTTACTTTGGCTTGGGGCCCTGATCTGGAGCCCTCAGGACTGCTGTAGAACCATGCTCCCGACTTTGTTAGGATTTCTTGCTGTTTTCGGCACAGGTTGCATACCCACATTACCTACATATAAAATGACAAATTAGGATTGAAGGAAGTCAGCGAAATATGAGATTAGAAGCACAAAAACAATACAATAACAAACCAAGATGTGCAGATTTCATGGAGAGATGGTTTTCTAACTATTTCTTTTTTATAATGCAGATGCTACAAACATAACACGGGTCAGTCAGCGGACCTTGGCTACATCGTAAACCCCTACACCATCTGTCCAGGTAAGAAGATGATTCAACTATCACAGTATCTTCTACTATGGCCAATAAAACAGACATCCATCCATCCATTTTCCAAACCGATTGTCTTGTGTAGTGTTGCGGTGATGCTGGGGCCTATCCTAAAAAAAAATTAAAAAGTAAAAAAATTTGATTTTATAAAACGGATGGTTCTGGTAGTTGATTATGATTGGCTGAGCTCTCCCTCCCTGCTCAGGCCTGTATGTCATCTTACATTGCACACAGCTTTATTTAGTTTCATATTTAGAGTATAATTTCATTAAAATAATAATAATAATTTCATATTTCAATATACGTTCTTTCTGTTGAATCACCATTCTAAAGTAGCTTTTCTGTAATGTCTATTCAGTGCTTTTCTTATTCACAATAATGACTTTAAATGATCTTTTGATTGTTTTATTGAAATTGATGTGCGATTAATTTGTGATCAATTAGATAATCGGCAATCATGCAAAAGTTTTAATCGCTTGAGAACACTAATTTAAATACAAGATGTACAAGTTTCTATAGAAATTACATTAAAGTATATTTTAGTTTATCATACAAACTTGTCAGTACATTTCAATAGAAGTAATTATGAAATTACATCTAAAGATAAATGCTCAGTCAAAAGTTCAGCTAAAGTCTAAAGTTCATTTCACAAAAATTTAAGATATAATATGTTTTCATTTAATTGCAATTTACTTGCAATTAAGTGTCTGAAAATATTACATTCAGTTTGCACTACTTACGTATATTCTTTTAAATTATATTATTTCCATAATACATACTCTTTTTAAATCGCATGCTAAAGTGTACTTTTTTTCACAAGGGTATTTGTTGCACAATGTGCAAACTAAAACAGATCACTTCCAATAAATAAGAAACAGAAAATATTGAAAACATAAACTACAGCTAAAATTCAGCTCCCTTATAATTTACCACAGTTCCATACCATACCTGGTATCCTCCATTTCCATAATGCTAATGGTGTGTGACAGGTTACATGCTAGTTTAGTAGTTAGGGTAATGGTAATTTGGGTAATTAGGGCAATTTGTTCAAATCTGTGAGTATCAATAACTGTAGTAACTATTATAATAACTATTATTTTGGCAGAAAATATGTTTGCTATGGTAAATGTTTGTAAGACTGTGAGACTGACAGACTAACACATCTATGAACTACACACTCATACACACTACAGGCACACACTCACATTTAAAGCACACACTCACACTCATTTAAAGTGAGCGAGAGACAGTGAGAGCTGCTGCTAGAGGAGAGTGGTCACCTGCCTTTGCTGAGTCACCAGAGAGAGAGAGAGAGAGAGAGAGTTCAAAAGGGAGAAAATTAGTCTGTGTGTGAATGGAATGGGCTCAGAAAATAGAACAAGAGGGCCATTAGTGACAGCCATAAGGAAATATTGTCTGAACTGCTTTCAAATGGACTGTGGACTTAAAGTGCTCAATGCAAATGTTGCTACATGAGAAATGCATTACTGCAGAAGCTACACAAAATTCTGCATTTAGAGGAACACAAAGAAACCAGTGACTAATACAAGACTTGCAGTATAAAACATTGCAAACATCGTAATAAAAAAAAATTTAAAAATAGATTTATAGAAACAATGTACAGTAGATTAAAGGTCCCATGGCATGAAAATTTCACTTTATGAGGTTTTTTAACATTAATATGAGTTCCCCTAGCCTAAAAAATCAAATCATTGTTTTGGCCAACAATTACTGTAATTAAAAAGTGTAACAACATGACAACTTTCCCTGACCTGACCTTTGTGAAAATACACTTTTCGCTGTATTAAAATACACAATTCAGTCTTTCGGTTAAAATCTCCCTTCAACAGCCTTAACAAATGAAAGTCTGAACGCATGTTCAGTCAGTGTGTTAATTGTGTTTACTTGTTTACTCAACAACACTTGCAAAAATATTATACATATTTATTTAAACTTTTGACTCAAAAACCAAAGTCACTGAGATATAGCCCTGTGACAACTAGCCCCGGTCTCACCTACACTGGTAGAATGTGTCCAAAACATTTAACATCAAACTTAACGCGCAGTAGATTAGTATCCTACCCATTTCGTCGTTGCGAGTCATTTTGTGTCCACCGAGACCCGATGAACGCCGACAGAGAAGATCTTAATATCGTTTAATGCACTCCGGTGCTCCTCAGCGTCTGCGGCTTCCGTCAGAACCACAAACGCTCGGCTCGACCCGAGACTGGATCCCGAGAGCCGCGTGAGAAGCCGCTGCTGACCCGCTGCCAGATCTGGAGATCTGCGCATGTCTGACAGCGGAACCCATCGGCGTTTAAGAGGCTGAATGCGCGATGAAGCTGAGGAGGAACTCACTGCTCCTCGCTTTAGTCTACATTATTTACGGATCCTGACGCTATCAAGCCACTAAGCCGGAATTCAGTTCATTACGAATGCATGCCGCCTCAAACCGCCCGAAAAAACACAGGTAATAACAGACACGAAGCTGTAGCCAAACACGGTTAATACTAAAAGTGGAATACAGTCAAACAATGCAAGTGAATGAATGTCCTCGGGGTAATTCATCTAATGAAGTTCACCTAACATGACCTCACAGTGTGTGAATGAAGTCTAAGTGAACTTAAGTAAGATTTGCAATAAAAAATGTTGTTTTCACTGAAAGGGCTAAAAAACATCTATACACACAGTCAGACACTAGCTTCATTCTCACACAACACTTCACAGTGCAACAGAATCAGCTCTTTTGTAATGTGTTTGTATTCACGAGGAGAAAATTGGCTTCAGTTGAGCAAGTTTACCAAAAAGAAGACTAATTGGCATAATGTTGACTTCAAACAAAACAGCTAGTTAAAATAAAACAGCATCAACACCAGTAAACAGATCCAAAACCTCTATTAAATACCTATTCCACACATTCCCATCTGTCACAGCAGAGGTGTTTGGAGCACAAGAAACAGTGCCATTCTAAAACATGACGTTCATGATTTTGGAAATCTAAAATATTTAGACACTATGTGTCTGAAATAAGTGGTAACAACTCATGTAAAATCAAGTAGCCAGTTAGGGATACTGGGAAAGCACATCTGTAAAGCATTAGAGTTAAACGGGTTCAAAACTTTATAATAACTTTTATTACATTAATAAACCTTAATAACAATAAATAAGTAATGTCTGTTCAGATCTATTAGATCTGAAAATAGATAAAAGTTTCATTACCTTGCACAGCTATTTGAATGCCTATATAATAATGTTTGTGTTGGCACTTGAAGTTGACATGAAATGAAAATTCACCCTTTTTTTTTTTTTTTACTTTATAGTTTTTTTTTTTTTTGTTAGTCCATATTTGACCCAAAGTTGGGTTGAAACAACCCAGCATTTTTTAGAGTGTATTATTATTTTATTTTAACAGATTATTTTACCTCACAATGTTTAATCAAAATGTCATAACTGGACCTTTTCATGAAAATATCAGACTTCGAAGATGTAGATGAGTTTCTTCATAGCATTCAAAAATTGTAGAAATGTAGCATTACATCACTCACCAGAGGATCCTCTGCAGTGAATGGGTGCCGTCAGAATGAGAGACCAAACAGCTGATAAAAACATCACAATAATCCACAAATCATCCACACCACTCCAATCCGTCAGTTAGTCATTTTAAACTTTAAACCATCACTTGGTTTGGACAAAATACCAGCTGTTTTTATCAGCTGTTTGGACTCTCATTCTGACGGCACCCATTCACTGCAGAGCATCCATTGATCAGTGATGTAATGCTAAATTTCTACAATTTTTTTTTCTGATGAAGAAACAAACTCATCTACATCTTTGATGACCCGAGGGTGAGGACATTTTCAGCAAATTTTCATTTTTGGGTGAACTATTCCTTTAATGCATTATAAAGGCCTTCATAATGATGTATTACGATCTTTTCACGAATATGTCCAACCACAGTTATAATGCATTATAATATTTAGCTATGCATTTTAACACATAACACACAGAATTGGGTGTTGATCCTTTCAAAGTAGCATTATGTAACTCAGTTATTCAGAATTATTAGTTGCAATTATTCTCATTATAAGGCATTGATACCCACCATAAATGCATTTTATGGTTAGTTAATGTTATTATAATGGATTATTATTATAAAGTGCGGGGGTCTTTTGTCAACTGTATGTTTTTTCTTGTCCTCCCATATAAAATGCTGTGTGTGTGTGTGTGTGTGTGTGTGTGTGTGTGTGTGTGTG